TCTAAGAGCAAATTTGGGCCTAAAGCTTGTTGGTTGTGTGGGGATGAGAGTCATTGGAAGAAGGACTGCCCTAAGCGTAAAGCAAAAGGAAACAACTCAGCTAACGTGGCAGTAAAACTTCCTGAACCTATAGCCCTAACAGTGAGTCTACAAGCTGCTACAGATGAATGGGTTCTAGACTCGGGCTGTACGTTTCACATCACACCAAGAAAGGACTTACTATCTGAATTTGAGGAATGTGAGGGACACACAGTGCTTATGGGAAACAACACTCACTGCAAAGTGAAAGGTCTAGGGAAGATTACCATAGACAACCCTGATGGCACGGTGGTGACTTTGAGCAATGTGAGGTACATGCCAGACATGGGCAGAAACCTCATCTCCTATGGTCAGCTTGAGCAGTCCGGATGCAAGTACAGTGGTGAAGACTTCTCGGTGGTGTTCTGCAAGGACAATAAGAGAGTGTTAACAGGGAAGTATGAACAAGGCTTGTATTATCTACAAGGAAAGGTCAGAGAAGCACAAGCAAACGTTGCGAGAGTACCTGTTGACATGACGAGAAAGTGGCACTCACGGCTTGCTCACATGAGTCAATCTTCAATGGAGGCATTAGTAAGGAAGGGATACTTGAAGAAGGATGACATCAAGCAGCTTGGGTTTTGTGAGCTCTGTACAATGGGAAAATCGCATAAGCAGAGTTTTCCAAAGGGGAAACACACAACAACAGAGATCCTAGGCTACGTCCACTCAGATATGTGGGGTTCTCCAAACGTAACTCCTAGTCTATCAGGAAACAGATACTTCTTGACGTTTATAGACGATTACTCGAAGAAAGTATGGATCTACTTCCTAAAGACTAAAGATAGAGCTTACCAGAACTTCGTGGAATGGAAGAAGCTAGTGGAGAATCAGACCGGGAAGAACCTGAAATGTTTAAGAACAGACAACGGGTTAGAGTTCTGCAACAATCTATTTGATGATCTGTGCAAAGAATCAGGGATTAAGAGACATAAAACTTGTCCCTATACCCCTCAACAAAATGGCGTTTCAGAGAGGATGAACAGGACAATCATGAATAAGGTTAGAAGCATGTTAAGTGAGACGAGCTTAGGTGGAGAGTTTTGGACAGAAGCAGCTCATACAGCAGTCTACATAATAAACCGGTCTCCGTCTGCATCTATTGATTTCGAAATTCCAGAGGCCCTATGGACATGAAGTAAACCGGACTACAGTCATCTAAAAAGGTTCGGGTGTATGGCCTATGTTCATACGGTTCAAGACAAGATCAGTCCTAGAGCAACTAAAGGGATTTTCGTGGGATATGCGCAAGGTACTAAGGGCTACAGATTTTGGCTCCTAGATGATCAGAAGGTTATAGTGAGCAAAGATGTCATATTTCATGAAGACAGATTATTCAAAGATAAGGACGCAGACATGTCAACAGATGCGAATATGGTAAAGGCTAAGAAAAGGGTTACTTTTAAGGAGAACTTAGAAGAGGTGGAGCCCTCGGAGAACGCAGCAGAAGCATCTTCAAGTCGTGGTGGAGCTATGTCAGACCCTGAGACAGAACAAGAAGATGTGTATGAGAGTTCTTCGGATGAGGAAGCTGATGATCAGACAAGTCAGTCGGACCAAGATGAACAAGATATTCAGGAGTTTGATGAGGAAGGCTTACCTTTGAAGAGGAATAGTTTTGGCAGAAAGTTGAAGAAGCCGGCAAGGTTCAGGGAAGGCAACTTTGTTGCGTATGCCCTTGCCAGTGCAAAAGCCATAGAAATCGATGAGCCAAAGTCCTTTGCCGAAGCTCGTAGAAGCCGAGAATGGAAGAAATGGGATCAAGCTGCACATGAAGAAATTGAGTCATTAGGCAAGAATCACACTTGGAACCTAGCAGATAAACCTAAGAATCAAAAGGTTATCGGCTGCAAGTGGATATTCAAGCTAAAGCCAGGAATCCCTGGAGTTGAAGAGCCTAGGTACAAGGCTAGACTAGTGGCAAAGGGGTTTGCTCAAGTTGAGAGAGTTGACTACAATGAAGTGTTTGCGCCTGTGGTGAAGCACGTGTCAATCCGTATTCTAGTGTCTATGGTGGTTAATCATGATATGGAATTGGAGCAGATGGATGTTAAGACAGCTTTCCTTCATGGTGTTCTACACGAGACTATCTACATGAATCAGCCAGAGGGTTTTATGCAAAAGGGACAAGAAGACAAAGTGTGCTTGTTAAAGAAGTCTCTCTACGGGTTAAAGCAATCTCCTAGAGAGTGGAATCACAGGTTTCATCAGTTCATGGCTAAGCAGAAATACAAGCGCAGTAAGTTTGATATGTGTGTCTATCAGAAAGGTTCTACAATTGAAGACAGGGTCTACTTACTCCTATACGTGGATGACATGCTATTGGCATCTAAGAGTGTGAAGGTGATTCAGAACCTAAAGAAGCTCCTAAGTTCAGAGTTCGAGATGAAGGACCTAGGGCCAGCAAGAAGAATTCTAGGCATGGATATCTTCAGAGATCGCGAAAAGGGTGTTCTAGTTCTTTCACAGGAAGAGTACATAAAGAAGGTTCTTAAAACATTTGGAATGTGGGATAGCAGAGAGGTGTCTACGCCTATGGGGTCTCATTTCAAGCTACAAGCTACTACAGAAGAACAGGAACAAGAACAAACAAAGGAAATGGAGGACATACCTTACGCAAGTGCAGTGGGAAGCCTAATGTACGCAATGGTTGGTTCCAGACCGGATCTCGCATATGCTGTGGGAATGGTAAGCAGATATATGGGGAGACCTGCAAAGGAACACTGGTTAGCTGTTCAGTGGATAATGAAATATTTGAAAGGAGCTGCAGGAGTGAACTTAACTTTCATAAAAGGTCAGGACTTCAAGGTGAAAGGTTACTGTGACTCAGATTATGCTTCAGACTTGGATAAAAGGAGGTCCATCCTGGGTTTTGTGTTCACGGCTGGTGGCAACACAATCAGTTGGAGATCTCAGCTTCAGAAGGTGGTGGTGCTATCTACAACAGAAGCAGAGTACATAGCCCTGTCAGAAGCAAGCAGAGAAGCGGTTTGGTTAAAGGGGTTTTGTGAAGAGTTGGGTTTCAATCAAGAAGCGATAGAGATTCATTGCGATTCACAGAGTGCTATCTACTTAGCGAAGAATCACATGTTTCACGAGAGGACTAAGCACATCAAGGTCAAATACAATTATATCAGGGAAGCAATTGACGATGGTGATGTACAAGTTCTAAAGATTCACACTTCGGTTAACCCAGCAGACATGTTAACGAAGGTCATACCTGGAGTGAAGTTCAGCGGTTGCTTGAAGATGCTGAACATGATCGAAGCCTAGAAGCTTTAGAGGGGTGCGTCGTCGTCGGTGAGTTGAGAAGACGGCGGACCCAAAGGGGCTGTTATCGCTGGTTTTGCTTGACAACAGTGGAGCCTCCGAAAGGTCAGATCGGAGCTCAAGCGTTGCTTTTCGGTTGAAGAGAAGCTCAAAAGTCGGTGTCCTCGGCGTGAGTTAACACCGGTGCCAGGATCGGGATCCACGGAGGTTGTCGGCGTTTTGGACATGCAAAGGGTCGGGAATGCAAACAAGGTGGAGATTTGTGAGAAGTTGTTCTTCATTCTCAGGTTTGGGCCTCGCGTAGTCAAGCCCAAAATGAAAAGCTACCAAAGAGGAGAAGTGGCTTTGGGCCAGGTAATTGGTTGAAGTCCAAGAAGTCCGTTGACTGAGTGGATAAGTTGGCCGTTATAACAGCTCAACAACTCGTCTTCTTCGTGTGATTGATCTTCTTTTTCTTTGTTGTATCTCTTGATCTTTTTTCTGTAACAAACAAGAAGAGAGTTAGTAGATTCCGGGAATCATTCTGAAGAGAGACGTATCCAGGTTTTGGGGAACTCTATAAAACTTTGAGTTTCTTTTTCCTTTTCTTACTTGATATACACGAGTGACAAGAGAGAGAGAGACCGAGATATAAAGAGTTATCTGAGCTAAATCGGCGAAGTATCGATTACAATTTACCATTAATTATTATCATAAGTATCCAATCATACTAACTTTGAATGGAATCATTACAAGTCAACGTTTATTATTGTGATCACATACATATGTGTAGCACTGTTTATCATTTTAAAAACTAGTTATTGGCACGTCTATTTCTTAGTAGATACAACTCTATTTAGTTTTTACTTTAAACCTACATCACTTGAGATCATATGTCTAGTGGTCTATGTTATGTCATAAGAAAATGATAAGATTTACATTACACAGTACTTAGTGCATGAGCTATATTCGATTAGCTATCATATTGTATACGTAAAGTCAATACTCTGATTCACACGGGATATCTTCCAAAATATTTCAAAACCATTTTCTGTTGTTCTACAGATTTTTTCAAAGATTATATATATGGTCAATCTCAGTCTGAATGGCTTTTACACTTGGCACTTGCACATTTTCTGTTTTTCTACAGATTTTTTCAAAGATTATATATATGGTCAATCTCAGTCTGAATGGCTTTTACACTTGGCACTTGCACGAGCACCATAGAGAAAACAATGGTTTTTACACTTGATTATTTCGAGTTACTAAAAATGACAATGATTACACCGACAGAATGATCGCTTTTATCAACGCATTTAAATGAGCTCATGAGGACCAAAGACAATGTCTGTCTGTAAGATGTTAGCTACGTATTCTTCAAGAAATGAGCTCATTAGAAAAACATCTTAGTTAATTTTAAATATCGACCAAAAATATATATATAGCAAACCAATAAAAACTAGATGTGAGATAGATAAAAAAAAAAAAAATCAAAGAAGGACGGATGATCCTATCAAGAATCAATTTTCCATTCTAAAATGAACCGGGTTTTTAGGCGAAAACAAAACCGAACCGAATCACCCATATACGGTTTGGTTTGATCTATTTCGGCTACCCTTAAGAACCGTCAGATTATATCGGACGGTAAAGGGCTGGGGTTGTAGATCCGACTTAAATGAGACCGAAACACTGGAAAACTCGTAATCAAAATTTCCCAATTTCTCCTCCAACCTGAAAAACCAAAAGCTTTTACCCAAATCTCTATAGGGTTTCGGATTTGGATCCTTAATTCCACACACCTGACTCCTCTTCTACCCAATTCGTCTTCCTCGATTCTACAGCCAATATGCCGCAGAGACACTCGAAGAACAACAACGATCTTGCGTATTTCACTTACGACGAGAAGAAGAAGCTAGGGTATGGAACCCAGAGGGAGAGATTGGGGAAAGACTCGATCAAGCCTTTCGATGCTTGTTCCCTTTGCTTGAAGCCTTTCATCGATCCGATGTGTTGCCACAAGGGTCATGTCTTCTGCAGAGAGTGTATCCTCGAATGTTTCCTGGCGCAGAAGAAAGATATACAAAGGTAAAATCATCCACCTTCGATTTCAGCTTCTGGGTTGTTATATTTATGACGAAATTGGCACTTTGGATCGTGATTGAGCTTGATTTAAGTTGTATCCTTAAGATCTAGATAGGGTTGTTGAACTCCATTATTATTCTGGATTCGAGTTTTTGTTTTTGTGATGCCTATGTATCTGGTGTATAATGGATAATTCCTGTTTACTTGGTTAGCTAATTTTGTATTGACTTCAAGGTGAAACTCATGGATTAGATCAAGTCTCCTCATAATCATATTTGTATTAGATTAGTTGGGTTTTATGTTAGTTAGAGCATTACCCTGATGAAAAATTGGATGTTTAATGCTTGATTCGTGTTTACAAGAGTAAAGAAAGAGACTCTTAAGCTATGTGATCTTGAACTTAAAGTGACCTAAACTATATCACAAGTAGTTGTGGTATTGTTTTAGTCATATAGTGGTTATTTTGTTTGAGTTATAGACTAATTGGACTAGGAGGAGAGATACGAGAATCTTATGAAGTGATTACTCAAATATTGTTGGAGATGTTTGTGATGTTTGCTATTTTGTGTTAGATGAGTATGAGCATATAATGGCAAACGAGATCTCAGGGTTGACTTATGGTTGCACGCGATTGTTTGTGCTTGTATACGAATAATTACATTTACCAGTGTAGAAATTGTTGAAGCTGACTCTCGTTAGTTGTATATTGTATACACTGTTAAGGGATCTCTTGAGGAGCTATCATGTGATTCATGTCTGATATATATTTGCTCCGTATGCTAAAATTGTGGGATTGTTTTCAGGAGGCTTGCTGCCCATGCTTCTCAAAAGAATCAAGATAAGGACGAAGAAGAAGAGAGGCTAATGTTACAGAAGGCGAGAGAGCTCGACGAATTTGATCAGCAAAACCATGGTGCATTGCCTCGATACAGTGACAAGAGCCAAAGCCAGGACAAGAATGGTTTTCATGGCGCAAACAGTGTGAAGACGACTTCCTTTGAAGAAGAAGCGCTTAGGACGATGAAAGCCTTCTGGCTTCCATCAGCTACACCAGGAGCTTCAGTGAGAGTAGAAGCTCCAGAAACTCACACGGTTTGTCCAGAGGGGAAAGAGAAGCTCAAGCTTAAGAACCTCTTTGCTATACGTTTCACGGAAGACAACAGCGAAGAAGAGAAGAAGACAACATCATCTTCAAGCTCTTATGACAAAACCTACATTTGCCCGAGCTGCAAAGTCACTCTCACCAACACGATGTCTCTCGTGGCACTTAGCTCATGCGGGCATGTTTTCTGCAAGAAGTGCGGTGAAAAGTTTATGCCTGTCGACAAAGTCTGTCTTGTCTGTGACAAGCCTTGCAAGGACAGAAACTTGGTTGGGTTAAAGAAAGGAGGCACAGGTTTTGCTGAGCACGATGATAATCTCGAGGCTAAGGAGTACAAGCATTTGGGTAGCGGCTCTGGTTTAGGGCTTGTGAGGCCGGTTAAGACATGATGAAAGTTGAAACCACATCAAATGTTTGCGTTACAATTAGAAAGGGACAATATATTTGATATATCGCCTGTATCTTTTGCTTACAACTAAGAGACTTTGTTTTCTCTGTATGGCTCTTGCTTTTGTCCTTTTCATCGGAACCTGTTTGTGTTTATTCCGTACGCAGATCTCGTTTCTTTTCTTTGCTTGTAATTATGCTTCTCTTTTCTTACCGATTTTGATCCGTTAACAAATCCGACTTTTTCGGCTTTCTCTCCGACTTTGTTCGGTTTTGTTCTTGTTTTATTTAGTTTTTTTTTGTTTTCTTGTTCACACCTCTTCTCTTTCTCTTTCTCTCGGCTTTTCCGGTCATTCGGACTAGCTTTACTCCGCCTTTGATTGTCTCTTTTTTCTTACCGTATCCTTAATTCTTTCTTTTGGAGAGTTATAATTTTTTGCTTCCTTTTGGGTCTCTGTTAGGTTTAAAGCAAAGTCTCTCATTCAAAATTAAGAATTGAGATATTTGATTAACTTGTTGAATTAGTTCAGTTTGTTTACTGCTTTTTCAATTTAAGTTTTTCACTGTTCTAATCTTTTGTGATAGGTGAAGTTTCACTCATCTAAGGCGGCGATTTTAAAAGAGAAGAGTGTTAAGCATGGTTCACAGAAGAAAGAGCTGATTTCCGATGAATTTTATTGCCGGCATGTTTACGGGCTTCATCAGAAGCTTGACACCGATGGTGATCTTCAACAGAAGCAGCTGCATCATCGTCTAAAAGACATGTGTTATGACACGTGTTTGTCAAAGCTTTTGTATTTTACTCAGCATTTTTGTTGGGCTTTGTAATTTAGAGATGTTTCTCTGAACCATGTAATTCGATTGCTCATTTTGGGCTTACGATGAATACAGTTTGCCGACAAAAAAAAAGAAGTATATTTTACAACAGTTACAAACAAGTTAAGTAAGTGTAAGACATATGGATATAGTAGTTGTTCTACCCATGCCATGTAGATTCCTTTTGATTAGTCCTATTACGAACATATAAAAAAAAATAACATCTATTATATTAAAAGAGGATCCTATACCTAATATGCCATTTGACTTTATTAGTTATATAAAAATTTATTAAATTTATTTTTCAGGTCTAAATTTTTGTTATTTTTTTTATTAAAGGTTTAATATTTTGTTTTTCTTCTTATTAAAAAGCCCATTTTTGTTTAAAAATTTAAAACTATCTTATTTTTTTTTGTTTTAAATTCGAAATTTATTAAGATATATATAGAAAATTCCAAAAAAATTAAAAAGTAATATATTTAGAGTCTAAATTTTATTTTACCAAAAAATCTCAAAATATGTTAGACCAACAATTATTTATATAATATTAATTATTTAATATAAGAAATTTTTATATCAATTTTGTTTTGCTAAATTTAAAGAAAAATAAAATAAAGAAAAAATAATAGAGAAGAAAAAGAGAGAAAAAATCATTAAAAATATAAAAAGAGAGAATGGAAAAAGAATAACGTGCAAAAAGAACTTAAAAAGAAAAATAGAAGAAATAAAAAAAAGATAAAGAGAGAAAAAGAAGAAGAACAATGATAAAAATTTAGAAAAAGAAGAAGAACAACAACAAAAGAATAATAACAAATAAGATAAAGAAGAAAAAATTATACAATAAAAGTGTGTTCGATTTAGTAAGAAGAAAAATAATTTATAAAAACCAATAATTTTTTTTCTTATTAAATCGAACACACTTTTATTGTATAATTTTTTGACAAAAAACATGAATACGATTAATAAAAAGATAATTAATCATATTTTATAGCATTTTAGCATTATTTGTAGATTAACTTTTTTTTTTGGTCGAACGTAGATTAACTATTTTGATTACAATGTTGTTGAACAGTAAAATTATATTTATAAAACCAATATTTTTAAAATTAATTTATAAAAAACTTTTTACCTATCCTAGTTATACTATTAAAAGAGGATCATTTTTAAAACTAACCTTTACCTACCATGTTAATTACATCATTTGCCATTAGACTTGCATTACATATATAGAGGTTCATTAAGGATAATTAATACTTTTTTCTATCAACAACATAACATATATAATTCCCCTTAAAACATAATGAACCTACATAAGCACACAACAGATTATTCTATAACTTAAATCTCGGCAACATATTATTCTTAAGCACATCATTTAACTAATCCCTATGAATTTAGATATACATAAAATTATATACCATAACAGAAACGATTTCGAAAAGTAAATATTGATATCTCATTTGCTTATAGATCATGAGATCTTAACAAATCCGCCAACAAACTACACATCAGTTACCCTAATTCCATTGCTATTCTATATTATAGAGAGCATCTATTTTTTCCTTCCTCATATATCTAATGTTTTCACAAAAATCTCATATACATACGAATCATGTTTTCATTTTGTTTTGATTGTATTCACTGTAGGGAAAATCATCACTGCTATTGAAACCAAAATCTAAGTATGAACAAACTTTCTACTTTATCTTTTTACGATTTCTATATTACTTACAAATTTGTGTAGTGCAATTCATATAATTTCTGTTATTGATCTCAGATCTATAATGCTTAAACTCTATAATCTATTTTTCTGCTCCTTAATTCTATTAAACAAATCTTAAAACTTCCCAACTCGAAATCTCTAGTGTTATTGCTTCTAATATATTTGAATTTTCAGGATGAAGGACGAAGTAGCTGATGAGGTTCCGGTAGCGTTTGTTGTTAGATCAGAAGGGTATCAGCTAACTGAAGATGATTTGAAGAGCCATGTCAACAAACATGTGACATTTTAAGATTTCATTGATTCTTCAACATGGGAAACACACAATGATGAGATTTTTTAGATGTCTTAGTTCACTACAATCAAATCAAGATGGTGTATATCATAGAAGCTATCCCGTTTACCTTAAATAAACACAAGATAGTTTAGAATTCATGTGCAAGCACACATTGATGTCTTTAAGAAGTCATTAAGAAGCAATTATTTGGTATCTGATTTGCTATCAAGATTTTCTACACTTTGTAAAGTTTTAATTACTCTCATGTGACCGTATTTTGGTTAGATTTTGATTTTCAATATATCATGGAGATTGAAAAGTGTATATGGAGAATTTTAGTTGTTTAGAAGGGGGGAGTGTGAGAAGCTTTGTTATAAGAATCTACCGGTCTTTGTAAATTCAGAACTGTTATGTATAAACGCTGATTGCGATTCTGTATCCGAACCCTAAAGCTAAACTATTCCTAACAATGATTAAGGAGCAGAAACATACATGATTAAGTGACAATGATTCTCAGTACCACACTTTTTGTTAACTCTGCAAAATTATGATGCAAGCATGAAGAGCCATTCAAGGAAAACTTCCTGTTAAAAGCTTTCAATTGGACCTCGCTGCAATATATCATCTCTATATATTTAAGTGGCTTATGTAAATGGTGAGCATCACTAATCTGGTTCATTTGGGCTTTAATATTTGGTTTCTCATTCTTTTTATGGGTTTTGTCATTAAAGTGGCTTATGTAATTGGTGAGCACTTTTGCTACTTTTAATTTTAATGCACGAAAAAGTTCAAAAAATATATATATATATATATATATATATCATCTCTAAATGCATCCTGAGGAGAACCACAAATTGCACAAATCAATCCTTAGAACACCAATCTCGGCTAAATCCTTGAGAAGGACCAAATCTATTGTAAATGATGGTCTTATGTTCCTCGACTTATATAAGCCGCAGTTGTTTGCTAAGTGACTGTCTACTACACGATCCCATACCAATTAATCAAACAAAACAATCTTGAGTATTTACGATTTAGTCTACTGGACCAAATATATTAACTAATATATCTTTAATCAAACCAAGTTTATATCATCTTTAACAAAATAATCGGTTGAAGAAACCACAAATCAAAGTACGTATAGTTACTTTGATTTCCTCTTAAACATAAATATAGTGTCATATCTTGACAATCAACAAACATGGGTAAGTATTTAGAAAACCCTTAATATTAGGAAGAAAAATAATTGAGTTTCCAAAAACTCGGGAATCATAATTAAAATAAATCATATCAGTATTTTTTCAAAATTCGAAATAATGTAAGCAACTAACGAATGTCACATAATTTTTTTTTTAAAACAATATCATGGAAGTTCATTTATAGATTATAATCAACGATTTAATAATTCCTAAAATATAGGAATCCTAATTTTAGTGAGATCAATACTACTACTTTACACTATTTTTATATCATAATAATATTAATTTATTCAGTATTAATTTCAGTGAGATCAATACTAATATATATACATTATTTTGCATGATATATAAAGGTTTTTTTTAAATACTTCTACAAATAGTATGTCTACATTAACATATACATTAATACATACAAATATACGATCTTTTTCAGACTGGCTTAATAAAACATATAAAATATGTTAATATGACACAAAACATATTAAATAGACAAGTTAGTACATTTTTACATTATAAGATGACTAAAAATAAAATGCATGAAAATATTATAGGCAGTTGCAAAGCAGATTAAATAGATAGATTAATCCATTTTTACATTAAAGTGACTAAAATCGATTGCATACAAAATATTATACCTACATGAGTGTGGAACCAACTGAATAGTTTTAGAGAAACAATGAAATTAAGAAATATTAATGTGTTTTATTGTTAGTCAATTTCTATTAGTTTGCTTATATTTATCATTAAAAATCTAACTATGCACCTTACACTTTGATTTTGTGAAATAAGTAGATTACCAGAGATGAATTTATGTTGAAGCAAGAAAAATGATCTTATTTTTCACAGAAATCTTAGATTGGTTATATATAATTTTCTGATATTATACATGATCTTATACTGATTGAATATATATAAAAAAATTACAAAATCACATAATTTACGAATATAAATCTGCTTAAGTTTTTTTTTTTAACATATTGCTTCAGTTATTTCTTAAGAGAATTTACAGATTGATAACTAAAACAGAAATCACGGGTGTTCACATATATCTTATTAGAAGTATTCTTCATATAATATTCAGAATCGCATATCTTAGTTTTATGTATCATTATCTTTAATTGTATATAGATGATCTTAAACGGCCTTCGTAATTTCTTCTTCTCAAATGATTAATAGTAAGAAAACATGTTCTATAGAAGCTTTGTGAGTCAAAATTGGGAAGAATTACATATTCTTGAAGCAAAGAAACAAAGCTATAGATTGAAAGAAGATCTAAATCGTGAAATTTACAATTTGAAAGTATCCAATTTGAGATAGAAAAGACTATGTCTGCATGTGTTACTAATGGATTAATAAAAAATCTAATCTCGAATGTGCTAAAATGTAAGACACAAATTTTTGGTATGGACTTCAAAATAAAACACTGGCCTAGAATGATACTAATAACTTTTTTTTTTGTAAGCATCTATACTAAATAAAAGAAACTATTTGGGGCTCCTTAAGCTATCCACCTCAGCTTTTCAAACTACTCTAAAAATATGACATATCAGCAAAAAATAATAATACAAATTCCCACTTTATATTTTTTTGAAATGCACATAAAGTAAATAAATAGAACCAAAATTAATATAGTTAAATACAAAAGTAAATAAAAATAAAATATTATTTTTTTAATCAGTAGAATAAATATTATTTAAATCTATAGCATCAATATATACTCTTTTTGTTTGTAATATAACAAATTAACAATAATGAAAATTCTCACTTTAGATTTTTTGAAATACACATAAAATAAATAAATAGAACCATTAAATTAATATAGTTATTAGCAAAAACTAAATAAAACTAAATATCATTTTAATCAGTAAAATAAATATCATTTAAATCTGTAGCATTAATATATACTCAT